CTGCTGCCCGCAGAGCCGGGAACCGGCCTTGCGGCTTCAGGCTAACGTTTGACTTCATCTCCGTGCTAGAAATGCTGTTTTACTGAAAAGAGAAATGTGGTAGTGGCCCGCTTGCAAGAGTGTTGAAAGTTGGAGCTTTGAAGGGAGAGGGGTAAGTGTCTGTCGAGGGGAAATTGTGCTGAAAATAGCGCGTTGCTCCCTTACGGCATGGTTTAGACCCAGAAGGCTGCACAAGGGCAGGAGGCTTTTATTTGTGGGGAGCGAGCTCAGGTCATGCTCCCCTGTGGTTCCCTGCCACGAGGCTGTTTCGGAAGGTCTCATCGCCCAGAGGCAGCAATGTGCTGAAGGACACCTGGTGGACACAAGTCTGAAATGCCTCTCTGCGACAGCTTTTCGGCAGCCCGGAGGCAGCTTCCCCTCATCTCTGGACGTGGAGTTTCTTTGCTGTTTTGCTTACAAGCCCTCGGCAGCTCTGTACTTTGTGGCCTCTTGTTAAGCCCCCCCGCCAAGCTGCGGCAGGGCAGGAGCCCCTTTTGGCTGCAGCAGGGGGGCTGCTGGCAGCCTGGAGCCAGCCTGTCCTGGCACTGCCGGCACCCCTCTCCTGGAGGTTACCCCTCCTCGACCACAGCAGCTGAGCTTGTGGGGGCACAACGGAGGCCAAGAATTGCTGACCAGAAAGCCACCCTCGGTTAAAAGTCGCCTGGACAGCTTTAGTCTGGTTTAGCAAAACTTCAGTGTTGGCACACACAGATGTGGAAAACATCTTCTGCCAAAATAACCTTCTGATGGGTACAGGGTGAGAAATCGTCTTTGTGTTCAGCTGCACTGGGGGAGAAGCAAACACTGCATGTAAGGTGGATATCAAAAAGTATCTGCTTTGTCAGAGACACCGGTTCAGTGAGTGTTTCAAGTTGACTAGTTCGAGGAGTGATTTCTAGAGATTCTGAGAATTTCATTAAAGTCATTTTAATTAAGGCCAAGATATTTTAAAACCATGAAAAAACTCGAGCTACCATGCAGTAAAACTGGTAGGGTGTGCTGTAGCTTGGTTGTGAACTTTTCTTGAGAGGGCAGATGGATGTAAATGAAGATATATGGGGAAGATGAGAAGAACATCTGCCTTTTTCAGCTCTCTATGAGAAATGTACAAGCAAGACAAAAATAAAGCTGAGCCACTGAGCTTGTTTCAGCTTGTGGTAGGTGTAGGAAAATTTCTGGAAGTCCCTTTTCTCTCTCTTCAGTCCAGATGCACAGATCAATGGAGCATTTAACTACCTCTACTGTTGACGTTTAATTTTTTTTGTAGTGTGCTGAAACACATGTTGAAACGCAGACAAGCGCAAACAGCCACCACGTACACCCGGCAATCTGTTTCTGGGTGGATTACCTCCTTGATTCCATGGCTGTTATTTGTCCCCTTTATTTTGACATTTAACGTGAAATTATGCTAGGCGTTAGTTGTTTGCTGGGATTTTTAATCTTGACCAATACACAGGCAAGTATTTCTCTCTCTGTCTCTCTCCCTCTCTCACACCAAGGGTGATACAACAGAGGAAAACCTAGCATGAGAAAATCACAAGGCTTAGCTAATTTGTGAAGTGCTGTCTTCAGTCTAGGGTTTTTACCGTCCTTCGCTGCAAAGGACTGTTACGAAGAAAATGAAATGCTCACTGAAGTGAGCTATCTGCAGGGTCTGACGAGTGCTAATCTGCTTTGGTAAGAACGTTGATTCCTCTGTGGGGTACAGACAGCAGTAATCCCAGCTCTTGGTGTTCGTCAGCCACTTCTGCTATTCCTGTCTTGTTCTGAAACTGTGGTGAGCAAAAAGACAGGTGGCAAGATGTATGAAAGGGGTATCATTAATACATTTTGCCATGAAAATTTGGTTATAATACCAAATTAATGGGCTTTTTACGTTCCTTTTTTCCCCACTATCTGAGCAGCAGGATCAATCTTGCAAAGGCTTGGGGTTTTTCGTTTACAAAATTGTTGGTTTTCTAACATTGTTTGGATACATTAAATTTAAGAAGATTGGTGAGGAACAGAGAGAGACAAAACCAATAACTCAGCAGTGTTTTGCAAAGGGTTACTCCAAGGCACGTTCTTCTGAATAATGATGAATTGCTTCCTGATTTGTGGTCAGTGACTTTTTTTGGTATAATTACTGTCAAGAAGGAAGCTGAACAACTAGAGTACATTTCTTAGACCTAGCATAGTGGAGCATTTTCATCAGAACCCTTACGCCTTTTTGACCAAACCCACTTGACATATGTTACCGGAACTGCTGTCTCCTTTATATAAAAGAGGGTGATCTGTGAGTACCTGTCCCAAAGCCATTTCCTATTCTGTTTTGTGTGCCACTGTATGCTGGTGAGAGAATTGTAGGTCATCTTTTTTTTTGTTCTCCTTTTAGCTAGGAGGTATAGAGCTTTGAGGTATAGAGCGAAGGAGGTGGGGGGAGGGGGCGAGGTTTCATTTTGTTCTGGAGGAGCAGTCATTCCAGTTCCTAACTTATTAGAAAAGCGAGCTCTGTAGCAATGAAGTGATTGATAGCTATTGAATAGTTTTATTTGCTGGAACTAGACTTTTGGAGGTTGCCTTTGATACGAGAAATAACTTCTGAAGATATTTGACAGCCTCAGTACATTTTGCTTACTGTTTCTTCTTGTAAATGTATTTCCACAAAACACATTTTTCAGGTGGTGTTCATCTTTGGCTTCCATATGTCTCGGTAAGATGCTAGTATCTAACAAAGCTGGTTGTGCCATATCCAACACGATTGTTAATTTATTTCTGTTTTGCTGACCTGTCACTAAAAATTTCTTGCATTGGTTGCTTTACCTTGCTAAGTTCAGGGGACAGGGGAGAGGAAGGAAGACTGTTCGATTTCTACTGGTGATGGACTGATCCTGTGCTGCTCTTCTTGTAGGTCACTGGAGTTATAAGCAAAGAGTACATCCCAAAAGGAACGCGCTTTGGACCCCTGGTAGGAGAGATCTATACCAGCGATACGGTTCCCAAGAATGCGAACAGAAAATACTTTTGGCGGGTAAGCAGGAAAAAACAGCACCATGTTGTTGCAGTAAGCAGATCACTAAATGAGTACAGCTGAGAAGCTGGGTCACTTCCTGCTTCAGACCTGTGTGAATGCAGGGGGCAACTTCTGTACGCTGCCAGGCACGAACAGAGCCAGTGGGGTGAACTAAGCTGAGGAAAAGCCTGGCTGTCTTGGATGTAGGGACTGTGTGGGTGGGGAGAGCTGGGGAGATGCACAGCCCTTTGTCTTCTGAAGCAGATCGGTGCTTGATTGTGTAAAGAAATAGTTCTGCTGCTTGCTGTAGGGGCAGGTTATTTTGCGTTTCTTCACAGCGGAAAGTCATTCTTGTTTATGCAAATGTCACACATCCTTGATTTTTCCAGCTATGAAGAAGCTGTGAAAGTACTGCATCATCTTTTACTCTGGAATTATGATACATTTTGTGACATTTTTCCCTAGGTTTTGAATAGAACTGCTATAACACAGTGGTGGTGGTCTTCAGTGTATATCATTCAAGTGATAAGCTTTTCTAGTCCACTTCAGGAAGTGTTAAAAGAACAGCCCACAGATCTTAGTGGAGAGAAAAATCCATTAATGGCAGACAAACACTAGAGGTGATGCCTAATTTGTACTCCGTAGTATAATCTGGAAGGGAGCACCAGCCAATTTGTTTTGGCTTGGAAAGTCTGTGCTGGGGGATGTGCTTCTAGTTTATCAGTTGACATAATCCTCAGTCTCCTTTACAGACCCATTATTAATTGTTAGAGAACATTCCTTCAGCCCCATCTCCTTCCATGGATTTGTTTTGCTGCCTTCTAGCCAATTAGGTTGTGTCTAAATCTGTGGATTTGGGAGTATATCCAAGCCTCTGTGCCCGGGTGCCTGCCTGCCTTAGCAATATCCCAACCTCATATCCAGGTGAAACCCAGGGCAAGCACCAGCGTTCCCCACACCCCTTTCTTCCTACCTAATTGCATCATTTTGGTTTTCTCAGATCGTCTTTGTGCGATGTAATACATCATTGCACAGGCAGTTATTTGCATGAGTGTTTTTACAAAGCAGGTGACTGTTTTCACATTCATAAGGCTACAAAATGTTTCTTTTAGATGAATTTTTCGGGAGCTTGTGTCCGGCATAGGAAGAGACTGGTATGCTGGCCCTAGCTATGCCAGTTGCTAAGACGGCAGACACTGGGAAGAGGGGCTGCTAACCATCTTGCAGGACTTCATTCATATATTGAAGCAAGAAAGATGACATCATTCTCATGATGTGATTTTAAGCTTTAATGCGGAGGGATCCTCGGAAATAATATCCTAGGAGCCATCTAAGCATCGTTAAATTCCCTGTTATAATCTCTTGATTCGTTCAAGACACGCTGCTGCACCAAAAATGAATTCCTTCCTAGGGGTCTGAAACAGGCTTGCATATGCAGAGGAAATTGTGGGAGATAACTTCCCACATGTTATTAAAGGCATCCTGGGCTTGCTGGCAGGAGCGGGAACATCTGCTGCGCGTGCGGGGGGACGCTGCCTGCGCCTTGCCCGCACGAGGGGAGCGGGGCCCGCCCGGGGCCAACGTCATTTCTGGGAACCGCGCCGTGACTCAGCACATCTGGTCTCGCCTTCCCCAGAATAGGTGGGAGCCTGGTGGGGCGCCTTCGCCCCGGAGCCGGAGCACGGTGACCAGCAGCATCCGTGGCCCTGCTGTGGGAGCCGTGGAGGGCCGATTTGGGAAGCGGCGGCGGGCGTCGAGCGCCAGAGCCCCGTGTTCCTGGAAGTTTGCAAGCCGGGGTGAGCAGAGAAACCCGAAGGCTCCTCTTGATGCAGCACAACTCACCCGGTTCCCTTCCATTTTCTCATAACAAACACACCGCAAAATCTCTCGCAAGCTGCTTTGATGAGGCCACATGTATTTCCCCCTTCTCAGTTTACAGGAAGTTACTCTTAAAGAAAGTGATTCTGGTGTTTACAGCCCGCGTTAAAGGGCCAGGCTGCCTCGCCCCTGTCCGCCGGCAGCTCTCTGGGGGAGAAGAGGAGAGGTCCTGGCCGGCCGGCAGGCGCTCGCGGGGCGCGCTGCTTGGTCAGGTAGGTGCAAAAGGCAGTGGTGTGAACACAAAGGCAGGAGCACGCCGTGGAGTGTTTCCCCCCCCGAGATAAGCTCTGTCTCCCCTTCGGAAAGGCATTTCCTGCTCAGTGAGGTGCGTTGCTGGTGCAAGCTGCTCCCGCTTCAAGGTCTGGCTTTTGCCCAGTCATCTGTTTGCGAAACCCAGGAACCCCATTTCATCCAGCACGGAGCTACTTCCCCCCAAGAGAAAGGGATGTGTCTTTAACAAACGTGTCTCCTGGATTTTTCTTGATTTTTTTTCTTTTTTTTTTTTTAAATAATTCTCTTATTCTTACCGCTTTAAGAAACAGTAGCGTCTCTCAGTGATTGGGACTTCTTTCCCCCCGAACCGCTGAGCAGTTTTTAGATTCATGTTTTCTTTCCCCTCTGCGGACAAGACAGAACGTGTCCCTTGATAGGAAAAGTGACTTCTCATCGGTTGGCTCCTCTCCAGGTCTTCGTTAAGTTATGGCAGGTGAAGTTCATCTTTGCCTCGCCCAGCCTTTCTACAAAAGGGCTACAGTCCAACTATGAGCAAGTGTTGCTTTAGGACTCTGGGGGGGTGGAGGATGTTTGCATAGTTTAAACCTTTGGGCGGAGGTGGTAGGAAACTGCAAGTACAGAGGCCATAGAAAAAGGCGAGAGAGACTCTGACGTAGCACAGCCAGTCAGTCTTATACACAGGTGACTCAAAGCATTAATGCAAGCACGCACTCAGACCTGCAGTCATTAGCATCACCCACTTGTTGATCATAGCACCAGGAAAAGGACTCTAAGGTAGACTGTTCACGCAGGGAGAGTACTCTGCATTTCAGATTTTGGGTCTGATTTGTCCATACTAGCAGGGGCACAGAGGCTAAGCAGAAATGGAAAAGGTGACTGTGGAGACTTACCTTTGAATAAGCATCTCTTTTCTTAACGCAGAGGATGTCATAGTTGGAAAGGGGACGACCCAGCCTGAATTCTTATTTCAGGAATATCTTCTCGTTTAAAAAAAAAAAGCTTATCATTTTTCGCCTCTGGACTCTGTGCGCACATGTTGCGTATTGTGCGTATGTATATTCATAGGCACTTCCTCTCTATTCCAGATCTATTCAAGTGGTGAGCTTCACCACTTCATTGACGGATTTAACGAGGACAAGAGCAACTGGATGCGTTATGTAAACCCTGGCTACTCTGTTCAGGAACAGAACTTGGCTGCTTGTCAGAATGGAATGAACATCTACTTCTACACCATCAAGCCCATCCCTGCCAACCAAGAGCTGCTTGTGTGGTATTGCCGAGACTTTGCAGAGAGGCTGCACTATCCCTCCTCCAGAGAGCTGACAATGATGAACCTCAGTAAGTGGATTACAGTATAAACAAGGAATGCTAGTAATGTCTCTTCTGCCTATATGATCTAATAATAAGTTGTATAATTACACAGCTGCATCATCTGTTGTGTCACAAGAGGTAGCTCGGAGTGGAAAAGGGGAATTAAAAAACCCAACACAACAGAATGAGTTCCCTGTGCCCGTTCAAATGTAAACAGATTACAAAAAATCTGAACAGTTACTGGTTTACAATCTGAGTGTCATCTGATGAAATTCTGGACAAACAACCCGAATATATCCTCTGCCTTCAAAACCATAGATGTTAGTTCACTCTGAGACTTTCCAAGTCCAGATCTCGTAGTGCGTTGAGCAAAAGTCTGCTTTGAGAGCGTATACTAAAGGCTGTCCAGTCATGCTCCCAAAGGGCTGCCCTCACTGTACAAGGAAGTGGCCATATGCCACGACTCTGTGTAGGTGTCTGACAAAATACATGTTGACTGCATAATGCTCTTTGAGCCTTGCATCTACACTTACTTATCTTACAGGAGCAAACCTCCTGTGGTCTTCTCATCTGGTTACTTGTTTTTTAAGCTCAGTGTACTCTGTCCCCGTTTCTTGGCTGTGTATCGCAGCTTTCGTTTTCTGTTCAAAAATAATAGCACTGGTAGCAGCGGGAAGAGGTATTTCCAGGAGTTTATCTCCGTGTTCCTCTGTGGTTTCTGACCATTTCCAGCCTCAGCGCTTTACTCATAGCTTAATCACTGTCTAGCACCTCACTCAGAGCCCCTTGAAGAGAGGGAGAGATTCTTGCTGACTTCTCATTTGACTTTTAGGCTGCCTCCCCTCCTGCTAGCTGCTCTGAGATAGAGCAGAGCATTCTTTTGTCCTTCTGCCAGCGCCTGAAATTTGAAGGAAAAACTGCAAGCAGGTTTTTTCATAAAAATGTCTATTTGCTGTTATTTGGCAACAAATAAAGGGTTATAAAATATCAGTGTTACTTTGGGGATTGTTAGAGCTAAAATGTAACCCCGCATCATGAAAATGATGTCACACATTCAGATTAATCAAAACTACATCTATCCTCCATGGATGTCGTCCTTTCACCA